GGATGTCGCGCCGGACCGGGGGCATGTAGTCAAGGACCAGTTGGTCGTCGCCCAGGAGTCGATTGATCAGGTCGTGTGGCACGCCGATCCGCACCAATGCAGCCCGGTCCATGTTGCGGAATGTCGCCAAGTCGTCTATTCCGGCTAGGGCAACGAGCGGGGCGATCGCCAGCAAGGACCGCTGGTGTAGCCATGCTCGAATGTCACGGAACGTCATCTCGGGGTGATCTGTATCAAGGGCCGAGAGGGGCCAAAAATGGCTATGTAAAATGTATCAAAGGTTTGCCACACGTGGAGACAAAAGCACAATGCAAACAATCAAGGTGAGCAAAAGTTCGGGGGGATTTAGGGGTGTTTGGCTTCAAACACATGGTGCGCCTTTTGCTCTTTGCACGGGTGTCCTGACGTACTGCCAAACGAGGTTGCACTTCGGCGGCAGGTTCAGGAAGATGGGTCGTGCGAAGGCAACCGCGTTGGTCGGACCCTCCGGGCTCGCGCGGGACACGGACGCCCTTCGGGTCGTAGTGGTTGCGGTGCTGGTCGAGGTCCGTCACAGGGCGCTCAAGTGGTTGAGACGGTCCGCCCCCTCGAGGTCTTGGCAGGTCCAGAGCTTGAGGCGGCAAAAGCACAGCCCCATCACTCTGGCGAGGTCCGAGGACTCAAGGATGCGGGTGGAACTGGGGTCGTAGCGATAGCGCCGCATGTCGTAGAAGGGCGTGGCGGGTTGGTGGCGTTGTCGCTTCTGGCTGGGGAGCAGGTCGACTCGGAGTGGCTTGATGCGTCCCAGGTTGCGCTGGGCGACTTGCTCCAGCTTCTCTTGGGTCCAGAAGGTCCTGTGCATGTATGGCAGTTTCTGAGCCGTCTGCATGTTGTTCATGATCATGTCGGCCAGATAGGCGCGGGGGTCCTTGGCTTGTCGCAGGTCGGATGCGATCTCGTTGATGTGGACCTTCATCTGTTGGATGAGCTTGCCGGTCGTGTCCTCCTCCCAGCGAAGAAGGTAGAGCATGTAGCGCCGGTCGTCGTCGCCGGTGATGGCCTCTGCCAATTGGTCCGTCTCGTGTGCTCCAGCGGTGGCGCGTACCACGAGGCACTTCTGGGCCGGCACGAAGCGTTCTGTGTCGTCTTGGCCGGCTGCGGTCAGGGCCTCCCCTCGGGATGCGGCTTTGGCGTCACTGTAGGTTTTCCATGGGTGGTATTGCTGGAGGCACTCGGGACAGAAGAACTGGCCGTGCTCGGTGATGTTGGCGGTGGCGCGCAGCCAATGTGACGAATGTACCACCGCTTTGCACGACTGACGTCGGCAGATAAAGTGCTCGTCGGTGGACGGGAGGACGCGGGTGATGAAATCGGTGAGGTGTGTGGGATAGTCGTCAGAGTCCAAGAACTCAAGGAGGGTCCCGGTGCTGTTTGCGCGCAATGCCTCGGTGAGGTGCTGCCTCTCCCATTTGTGGAACATGAGGAATAGGTCTCGTCGGTCCTCGGGTGCCAGGTTGATGAGGTCGAGGCACATGGTTTCGGCGAGGAACTTGGAGTGGTCGCTGATGAGGCGGCGCAGGTGGTTGTTGGAGGTTCCGGGGTGGATCTCGCGCAAGGAGTCCATCATGTCCATGTGGGTGTTCGTGCGGATGGTGCCGACGGCCTTGTTGGTCATGTAGTCCAAGCGGCGTCGCCATGCTCGTCGGCACAGCTTGCTGAACACCTCGAGGGTGAATGGCCGGCGGTTCTTCACGTCGAGGGCTGGTACCCTGATCCAGCGGCGGTTGACCTGGTCCCACCTGTGCACGGTGATGTAGGCGTCGTGAGCGTCGTCCGTCTCTGGCACCGCAATCTGTAAGGTCGGTGGGGCGATGGTATGGTCGCTGATCATGGCCGCGAGGTCGGGGTGCTCTGCGATGGTGTTGTACGGTGCGTGTTCTGCAATCAGGGAGTTCGGGTCGGCCAGGAGCTCCTCGAACTGGAACCACGGCACGCTACTGGTGTCGCAGGTAGCGCACCCGTAGCACGCCCCGACCCACTTGTTTCGCCAGTCGGTTTCCTCTGAGAAGCAGAGGGGCATGATGTACTGGGATTGGTATGGGATCTGGCAGAACGAGCACTGCAGTGTGGCTGGTGTTGGATTCAGGTTGTGCCAGTCCAGCAGCAGGTAGCGTGTCCGTGTGTCCGGCTCGGTGTTGGTCGACTCCATGAAGAGGTCGATCGCGTCCGTGGTGGAGAGGCGGGGATTCTCGGTGCGGAAGGTCTGGAACCTCGAGAGGACGCCGGTGTTGTAGGACCGCAGGAGGAGCTCGCAGACTGCGTCGGTCTCGCGAAGTGCCATGTTGTGCGAAGGGGGTGCGATATCGGATACACAAAAACCAGCCTGAAAATTCCTTCGGAATTGGAGGTGGCGCTTGCCGAACTCACGCAGGAGTCGGTAGTGTGCCGGGTGTGAGTCAAAGGGGGGGGGTTGGTCGGGCCAGGGGGGTGTGTCTAGGTGACTCGGGTCCAAGGATGGCCCGTTGATGGGGGGGATCTGTACGACGCGCCACACCGGCACAAACGTCGTGTTAGATGACACGCCACACCGGCACAAATGTCATCCCGAGGGGTGGAGCTGTCCCGTAGGACCAACTCCCTGCGGTGTGAAGGTGACCGGGGTCGGCCAGTTTGTCATCAGGGATCCGACCCGAAGAAACCGAGGGTAATCCACAGGGGATCCGAAGTGGGGTGAAAGACCGGTCGGGTTCGGGGCAGGCGAGTGGGGATTGGTCACCGCAGTATGGGCCTCAGCAGTGGGTCGGTTTGTCAAGGGGTATCCTCTCGAATCAAACAGGGGGGACGAAGAGGGTCGACCCGGGCTCGAGGCTCTCAGCGCTTTTGCGCGGTCCGAAGATGGATCTCTCTTCGGGAAAAGGGGGCCTCAGGCGGTCGCCTAGGCATGGGTGTCACCTGTGCGGTATGAGGGTCATCGCCCTATTGCTGGCCCACCATCGCACGGGACATGGACTTGGTGGGTCAACTTAGGGTGGCGGGTTTGGAGACTCCTCGGTGCCGCCTGGTCAGTAGCGGGAGTCCTGGCTCTGCTCAGTCTTAGAGCTCCCGGTTGAAGCGCAGGTGTCCGTCGGGGCCGAGCAGGATGCCCTCGATGGTCGCCATGGTGCGTTGTTCGGGGGTCAGGAAATTGGAAATTGTCTCAATGATGGTCTCCCCGAAGGTGATTGCCATGTTGTCCACAAAAGGGTCTCGCCGGGAGGCGCGACAGAGCTGCCTCCCGAAGGTAAGCCAGGAACAGGTCAGTTGTTGTAGCATGTGCTGCCGGTTGGCGCTGTTGAGCAGCTGGAGTTGTTGGTGAACGTGTTGCTGGATAATCCAGCGCAGCAGGCTCCTGAGAGGTGTGACCTGCGTAGTTGGTTCCACGGGTACAAGAAAAAGGCCCCCGAAGTCATTGCCGTACACATTGGTGGGGGTGCGCGAGAAGATGCCGTAGTTGGTCAGGTGCCATTGCAAGCCGATGTGGTCGAGGACGGAGGGGAATTCCGGTAGCAGTTCCGGATTGATCAGGAAGGTGGCATCTTCGTGTACCCGCGCGCGGATGTGTCCGGCCCGCTGGGTTGACAGCAGGCCTTGTGTGCTGTCGTCACGGTCGATGCCTGGCGGCTGGAGCCACTGGACTAAGTCGTGATGTTGGTTGGATGGTGTGGGGGGTGCCGCCTTGGATGGTGTGGTGGGTTGCGGGCGTGGTGAAGGCGTGTGGTGCGGGACGGGCCCGGTCGATGTGGTGGTCGCCTCCGGGAATCGGGCCTGTCTGGGAGTGTCGCGAGCCGTGGGTGTCGCGAAGTTGACGGTCCGCGGTGGTGTCATAGCTCGGGAGTATCCCGGTTGTGTGGAGCGGCCTCGCTGCTGTCGGGGGGTGTTGTTCCGTTGGCGAGACGGGTTCAATGTGCTTGGCGGGCCACGTGGTACCGCGTATGGCATCTGGTAGGTGCACGGATCGGGGTACCGAACGTTCATGTGGTGAATGGGCGTGTTCCACTCGCCGTGAAGGTGGTCGCGGAGGATTTCAAAGGCCTCCCGCCTGGACACGAAGCGCCATTCACGGTGGGCTGTGTCATAGTGGATGCCCACGCCGGTGTTGGGTCTGGCATGGTGCACGAAGCGCAGCCAGGCAAGAAGGTCACCATGCAGGACTGAGTCGCTGTGAACATGGCGGCATTCGGCACCACTGTCGCAAAAGCCTTCTGGATGCCGGGCCTGTTGTCGAAGATGTCGGTAACAGATGTTGTCTCGCGGCATCCAACGCGCATCAACGAACTCCGGATGCAAAAAGGCGCACTGGTGGGCAGAGGCAGGTGCACGTCCCCTGCAGCCGGAATGGTTGATGAACTGGTTGCAGACCTGATTGCCCTGCAAGATGTTGCCCGGACCGACCGCCTCGGGCAGGATCGAAAGATGGTCCTGAAGGGCCCGGTACAGTCGTTCATAATCCGGGTCGAGCTCGGTCATTTCCATGAGCTGGTACTCCTCCACGATGGATGCGAAATTCGCTGGAGCAGTCATGGCGGTCGAGCAGGCAGGGCAGGTAGGTCGGAAAGAAAAATTTGGCTAATTCGCCAAAATGGCGAACGGAGCATGAATCAAGCAGTGTCATCCTGCAGGCACTCAAGGTTCGAATCTGAGTGTGATTCAAATGCCTTCCGCTATCGGTTGTTACTTTTAACACAAGTGTTAACCGCAACAAGCCTGGCTTCAGTCGCAACACCCCAGCCCCCCCCCACCCACCCAGGTGTTTCACCTGTTTTGCTTTGAGGTTTTTGCTCGGTTACTTTCTGCTCCCCTGCTAAACGGGAATAGCATTTAGTGGTTTAATACGGAAAACCCACTAGTTGGCGAAAAGTTAAAGTCTCAACATCCCTTGGCAAAATGCACCAAAGCTTTTGGGTGACTCTACATGGCTCAAAAAAAATGTTCCCCTCGAATCCCCGCGGACATGCGTCCGGCGACTGAGTGCGACTTCCCGCCTGAGCACGGCGCGCACGTGCTCGCCTTCCTCAGGCCCGGCAGTGAGCACGGAGGCCTCCCCCGACATGATGAGGTAAAAGGCCTTGCCTCACCAGCACCCGTGGGGCTAAGGGGGCTCGAATTGGATGGGGTTTTGCCAGGCTTCTGTTCTCAAAATCGGCGACGTTCCCCCCCCCCAAAAAAAAAAAAACAAACCAAAAAAAAAAACAACAACCACAAAAAGAAACAATGTTGAAGAAACAGATCGGCCACCTCCCCCCCCCCCTACACAAAAAGAAAAAAGGAAAAACATAAAATCAACAAGCAAAACGACAAAACACAATTGGCCTAGAGTGCAAGCCGTACCCCCCCCTCCAGAAGTGGACGATCGGGGGTTTCCCAGGAAAATCGTCTTCCAACACCCTCCAGCCGTCAGCTTCCATGATTCGAGGGTAAGTGGGGTGGGCTTGGCGGGGTGCCAGGTCCCAATTGAAAAGTGTCTTAAAAATCGGCAATCCCCCCGAAACCAAAAGGAGAGATGGTTTCCCAGTGGTCTCCTTGCCTCTGGAGTGTGAACTGGTCCAGAACCATGTACGAACCTTTGAGACAACATAATTGATCGACCCACAAAAATGACACAAGTTCTACCCCCGCTTCTAGTGAACTCTATGAGCCCGGCAATGCCACCGGGCCGGAACGTTGATCATGAGTTCAGTGCATCACTGAATTTCCTCAAATGAAAGGTTGAGCGAAAGGTTGAGCATTTTACTACTGGGTCACTGGAATACAAAGATAACTCCACGAATACCTTTGCAAGAAACATAGTCTTCCAGGACCACTCAGTCAGGCATGCTAGTGGACAGGAGGGGGCACTGGTCACTTGATGTCCCTTAAGCTGATCAACTCACGTCTTAAACTCGACACTTGGATCGGTTCTGCTGGGTTCCAAGAAGGTGGGTTCCAGTAAGGTGGGTTGCTCTAAGCCCTGTGCAAAAGTCTGACCTTTTCAAAAGGACACACCATGTCACCAAATGGTCCTTAAAGGGCCATCCGGCCATACCAAAGACCGGATGAAAAAAGTAAACTGCCACTTTGGGAGATCAAGTTGAACACCGACCTCGGACTTTTCGCTAACAGCCAAACAGCCAGACCCCTTGCACAATTGCTTGAAAACAGCCAAGAAAACAGTTAAAACAAGGGAGGGGCCAACCAACTGTTTAAACGTCGTTGAACCATTGCTGTTTCAACAACCTCCTTGTGGCTTCCCTTCCAAAGATGCCCAAACCTTGGTTGCTTAACTCACTTCCTGACTGGATTCGCATTCGTTTTTGCCACTGGAACTCGGGGAGTGAGTTCAGCATATTTTGCCCCACGGTCAGGAGGTTGTTTGTACAAGGGCTCGACCCAACCCGCGCCTAGATCGCCCTGCTTGACGATGTCCCTGCCCACAGCCCACTCCTTTCGCTTCAGCTTCATCGCCACCTGTCGAACGGCGACCCCGTCGCAGCAACGTCGCGTCAACCGAGTCAGTCGTCGCCAGGTTTGGTCCACTACCCCCCAAACCACTGACCCCAGTGGTTAAATGGGATCTGCAACCACATTTCTAGCTACTGTATGCCCCATTTTTTCCTGGGAAATGGGATGTACGACCACATTTCTAGCCACTGTATGCCCCCTAGAGGGTCCAAGTACCCCATATTTCAGGTCTTGGGTTTGGTTCAGAGGGATTTCTCATTTACAGATCCCTCAAGAATCCGCAAAAATCTAAGTACCTCTGGCCCCTCTGGGCCGGTAATGGACAAAGCCAGCAGCCGGGCCTTGGGGAGCTCTGAGCGGGGCAGCTGGTTCTTGAAGAGCGGCACGGAGGACATGAAGGTCACGATCTCCTATAGACGGAGACCCGGGCCGACACGGATCTCGGGATCCCGATGCAGTGAGAATACACCTGAACAGTGCAACTTGTTTATTTGGTGGTGTCCCCTTACTTTGGTGGAAAAAGCCACATGTTTCAACATTACAACTGGTTTTCTTGTGGCTTCCCTTTCTTTATTCTGGTGTTGAAAACGCAGCATGCTTCAAATGGTTGCAAAATGGAGATCTTTCAAGGAGCCCTGACCAGTGTCCCATAAAAAAGAAGTCGCGGAAGAAACGGGGATCCTCACAGGTCCCTGGAAGGGGGTCCACCCGAGGTCCCCAGAATGCACAAGACCTCCCTCTCGAAGCAGGTCTGCAAGAGCGCACATGAGAAATCCCAATGTGCCAAAGCAAGGGAGCAACGCTTGAACCTTAACTGACACAGGATTTTGCTAATCCTTCAAGCCGGAAGGAGCTGTGCAAGCAGCGCTTCCCATTCGCGCAATCAGTTCGCCAAAAAAACACATGGAACCAGTTCGCCAAAAAATATAATAACAATAATAATAGTAATAATAATGATAATATTGATAACACTAATAATAATGATAATAATAACAATAATAATGATGATAATAATAACAATAATGATAATACCAAAAAATAAACGATCGAGCCCTCCTCAAAGGCGGCCCTGTCCAGGTACAGCTCCTGGCATATTTTTTTTTCTGATCTCCCCCTCCGAACGGCTGGTGCCCCCGAAAGGGCGCCGGTGCGATCCCGACACCTGTGGGAAATGGAGCCCACTTCTGATACGAGAGAAAGGTCCCCCAAAGACTCGCCAGGAAAAGAGGGGATTCCCAAAAGTATCACCCTCGAAGTGGTTGGAGAAACCCCCGAGTGATCCCACAACCTTGATTCCGAGTGTTTGGTGCAAGAAGCATGTGGTTTCAATGAGCTCGTTCGTTTGCTGGGTCCTGCACTCTGGAGCCCTGAGCAAATCGTTTTGTTATTTAGGCCTTTTGACAGTCTTGGAACCCTACAAATGGTCCTGCTTGGCTTCCTTTGGTTTCCCTTATGCAAGCCTGTCAACCCAAGGAACCGCTCTCTCTCTCTCTCTCTCTCTCTCTCTGCAATTTCCACTTGGCGTGTAGATGCTTAAGGGAGCAACACTCAACTTGTCTCATTATTCCATCAAAGTCACCCCCAGTAATAGGTTGCAGGGAAACTACCCCGCTACTGACTCTTATGACCCCCAGAGACAGTCGAAACAATGAGTCCAGCTCAAACAAGAACATCCTAGGCTTGAGGCACGAAGGCTGTTCACTTGCCATTGTAGCTTAAGTGTCTTCACTCCCAGCTCCGCGGATCGATGTGGAAGGTACCGTAATCTGAAGATTTCGGGTCAGTCAGCAAGCATCCGCGGAGGCCAATGGCCCTCCGCGCGGAGCCAAGCAAGTATCTTTGAAAAGTGCATCCATGGACAACCTGGCGCATGAAAACACACCATTGGTCGCTATTGGTGTATGATAGCAGGACCAACCTCACCTTAAACTCATTGCCCAAAGGACCCAGAAACAAAAGGTTCACCTTTTGGGGCCATGACTAAAACTAGACCAAAAAGGAGAAACCAAAAGGTCAAAAAGTCGATTCGCTTTGGGCAACAGAGAAAAAGGACACCCTTTTCTGCTTTTTTCGCGCCTCCACCACCGTGCCATTCTGGATTTCTTGCCGCGACAGAAGCCGCCAGCAGCTGGACCAACAGCTCATCCAGTCCATGGCGTGCAAAGCCGAGGGCTCAACAAAAAATCGCGCAAAAGCGGTGGCTGAAATCCTGGCTGCTGCAACGCCCCCCCTGCGAAAAAGTGAGCCACTTTTTGGGGGTTTGGCGGAAAACACCACTTGATTTCAACCAAAAAGTTAAAGCCTAAACGCCATGGATTGTTGAACCTCGCTTCCACATGTCCAAGTCACTTCCCCATGTCCAGCTCACATTCACCATAAGCTGGATAGGGTGTGGAGTCCAAGTCTTGGGCTGGAATTAGGACCCCAGCAAAGCATTATCGTTTTTTTGCCGAGTGGAAAACAAAGGGACCCCAAAAAAGCAAAACATCAAAAAGGGGAGCTAGTTCTGGGGAAGTTTCTTCTCCGCGAGCTCGCGCGCGATGGCGCGCAAAAAGGGTGAAGGAATAATGCAGGTGGTTGCTGTTTGGATTTCAAGGACCCTGCTACCAGGTCCGTAATCCGAAGCCCTATCACAACCCCTGGTAGCTCCGAAAGTCCCTCTTTAACAAATCTGGATACCCCCAGGTCGGGAATGGCTTCAACCGTGGGATACCTCAGCACTCAGTTTGGCATCCCGGGATTTCCGGGCTCGTTGAATCTGAAAAGCACACGGATCGGAGAAACCGACGGCCGGGCGGGCACATGGGTCCACTGCGAAACCCCTGCCCTTCCCCCAAAAAACAACTGTTGAGGATGTCCAAGACAAATGTCCCAAATGAGTTCGAAAACAAAAGGGTTCGAGGGATGCTACACACATGATTGCCCTGTTCAAGCTAGAACCCATTTGTTTGAACCTGTTTGGCATGCTCAAGGCGAATTATGATTCCAGCTTGCTGCAAGCATTTCCCAGCCAAATTGCGCGCGACGCGCATGTACCACCCACGGTGAACTATCTGGGAAAGATGTGCCGACCCCCCCTCCCCCTGGCCCGCCATAATTACGTACATGATGGTTTTTCTTCCCACAAGAAACTCGCCCCCCCGCATATCCACAACTTCCCGTCACTTCTTGATTCATGGGTCGGTCGCAAACCCCAGTGGCCCACTTGGTATCACCGGTTGGAGTGTTTCCGACAACCATCCACAAGTTTTAGAATCACAATCCGAAAAACTGAATCTCCAAACGGACCTGCATGGGTGGAATTCACTCGTTTCCCCCCCGCCCCCCCGCCCCCCGGCCCCGGCCCCCGGATCGGTGGAATCCCTCGAAACCCACCCCCCAAACCCAGGGGAAAACGGACATTAAACCCTTGGGGGGTAGCTTCGGTGTAAAAATAGCGCACACCATCTTGTGAATTACAGCCAGCCCTTTGCCATGCCCGCAGATGCCTTTTTTTCCGCAGCCAAGTCATCTGGGCAAATTATCACCAACCAAACATTAAGAAACGGGCCCTTTGGGTGACGTCTGTCAAAAGTGATGTCGCAAGAATCTTAGCCCTTTCGTATACGCGTTGCCGCCGCTACTCCACGATGGTCTCAAAGATCAGCGGCCTATGGGCAAGGTCGGCGCAGCGAAAAACCATTCGTGGCCCAGGAAGCGGAATTTGCAGGAATCGGCCGGAGAGGTCAACTGAACCCAACACTGTGGGTCAAAACCAATGGTACCATTTCGGGGTAGGTGAATTCACCACCCATTTTGGCCTATTTTACTGGGGATTGGGATGTTCACTGGGGGGTAACGATTTGGATTTTGACCCATGGCCATGTCTCTTTTTGAGGTAGGGATGTAGGACCCTGCAACTAGATGCGGCTTCCCTTTTTTTCCTGCTGGTCCCGACACGTGGGGAATGAGCGAGTCTGGGTGTGGGGAATGAAGCGGAATCATCTCGGGGATGATTCTTTTTGCGGGGTCATTCCATTGTTCATTCCCCGCCTACCGAACCAGCAACACAAGGAAACATGCAGCTTTTCAGCCCTATGAGCGTACCTGCTTGCAGGGTCCTGTGAGCCAAGCCCAGTCATTTTTTTTTGTCTAGCCGGAGGTGCGAACAACCTTGGATGTCCACTTGCCAAAAGGTCGCTGGCTCCCAGAAAGCTATAAATGGCTCATTGGGCCGAGAAAGAGGGTCTTACCACTGGGCCCCTTAAAAAGATGAATCATGTTGGGAAAGGGGGGAGGGGTGTTTAAAAATCACCATTTGGATGGTCCTTTTAAAAACGTGACCCTATATGTATACATATATATATACATATATATATCTATATATATATATATATCTATAGGCCCAGTACCAGAAGTACCTGCACCCCATCACGCTGGGCATTAGGTTTGGCTCGTGCCCGAAATGTTCGATCCGTAAATGTCACAAAGAGGAACACCTTAAAATTGAGTCACAACATGTGAGTCATGAGTCATAATCAAAGAATCAAACTGGCCTACCCAGAACCAAGGCATTGAAAAGGCGGCGAAGGCACCCAATGGTTGGGAGAATTGTGGTGACTGTCCCTTACTAACCTTCAACCCGGGTTTTGATTTTGGCTCATGTGATGCCTAAAGGAACGCAAGCTTGAGGAAGTTGTTGGTTCTCGCTGGAAGGCTCAATGGATTGAAAGGACACCCCCCCTCCCCTAATTCCATTCTCAAGAGGGTGGGGATCGCCTGATCAGCCAAGAGCAAGCCAGAAAGCATTGACGCCTAGTCGGTTCGCTCCTTGTCTTGAAACAACAACTCAAAGCCATCCGGTCCGAAGGAACTTGCCCGGAACTCCTCTCGTCCTTCTGTGAACCTGGCGCTGTTGGGTTTGGTTGAATGGAAAGAGAAGCCCACCCATACCCACCCCCAACCAAGCAAAAAGGAGTCTTTTCCCCAACAGCGACCAAGAAGGACAAGCCTGCAAGGCCCGGGGAATGTGCCAGGGTGATTCCCTATAGACATGAGATTCATTCGGCCGGTTCCCCGACTTTTTCTGGGCCATTTCGTGCATGTCCCCAAATGAATTCGCCCTTCTGGGAGCCTGATGGACGCCTTTCCTTGGGCTGGTTCATGTGGAGGGATGGTTGAGTTGGAAGGATACCAACCACAAAAACTTCCTGGGTGCATTGGCCAACAAGTCAAACTATTCAGTTGCCCGCAAAATGTTCAAAGAAACCCAAGCGACTCAACAACAAACAGAACCGCTCGGAAAGTAAGTTCGCCCCCCCCCAAAAAAAAAACAACAAAACATGGGAGGACAAACAGACAAGAAACAGCAAAGAGACTCGAAGCTTTCTTCTGGCAAGGCCTCTAGCTCCCGCCTATGGTCCGAAGACTCCAAGCCCTTGGGCAAGGCCACGCCCTGACCTCGGATCGACTTGGATTCAGACCTGACGTTCTGACGTCCTGGGGGTGGGTCATCTGAACAGAGACCTTCTGGTGATATAATACGTTGGGCACATAGGTGTCCTTTTGGGGGCAATAGATGGCCCTGGTAGATGATTAAACCACCAGGTAAACCAGGGCCATCTATTGTTCTAGCAAAACAACCAAAAAGGACACCTATGGTTGGGCACATATGAGATGCACATGTTTCACTAGACCGAGGAAAAGCGAACTCAGCACCCCAGTTCACTGAGCAACATGTCTAGTCGGTGAGACAATGCCAAGCTTGGCTCCCCTCAGACCCGTGTGGTTTTGGGGATTTGAAGCCCTGAACTTTCTTCTGTGGTCCATTTTAGTAGGGGAACCCTCCCCCAAAAAAGAAACGGTAAAAGGGCAGTACTGAATACTGGGGGACCTAGTACTTATTAAGGGCTTGATCAGCTCCCCCACCCACCCGCTTCATCTTGCTGCTGCTCAGTAGGGAATGAGTGTTGGAATGACTCCGAGAAAAACCACCCCCAATCCGGCTTCCTTCAAGGGGAATCCCCTTCCAGTTCATTCCCAAAAGCAAGACACCCTTGCTCGCCTTAGCGCTAGTTGGTTTGGATTGGTGGTTTGGGCCCCTGGTTCTTGTAGAGGGTCAATTGGAAACCACCACCAATGAGCAGCCTTCGCGTTCCAGCTTCTCCTTGCTGGTGCGCCGGACAATGTCTCTCAGTGGCTCTGCGCCAAATGCCAGCTCATCCCCTGACGTGAACTCTACATCGACGGCCTGCAGCGCATTGGACTCAATGTACGATCTCACACACGCAGCATCCGCCAGCAGAGCTGCAGGAAGTTCACGCGACTCTGCACTGCCATTGCGGCCCACCACAAGAAGCTGCACAAATCTCATGGCTTGGCAGGAAAACGTTGCTTCCGGTGAGCAACAAATTCAAACAAGCTGCGCAATCCTGTGGGGCAGCCACTGGCTGTCGTCTCAATGGCGTAGCCCGAAAAAATCCAAACCCCAAGATAATGCAAAATAATGACCCTTTTCCTGGTAGTCTTCCAAACTGACGAAACCCCGACGTCCCAATCCGCCGCCGCCGCCGCCGCCGCCGCCGACAGCTTCTGCATTAACCGTGCAAACCGGCAGGTTTTGGAAGGTTATGAGTAACCGCCACTAACCGGAGAAGGTTTTCAAAAGGTTTCAGAAACCGAACCGAACCGAACCTGACCGTGGCCACCCTGCATTTGAGGGACGTACCAATGGGAGATGACACAGTTGTCTACCTCCGTTGTTTTAGTCAAGGCAAAGATGTAAGATGGTACCAAACATTGACTGCAGTGAGTGGCACATGTCTAAGTGCAGGGGCGCCGGGGGGGGGGGGGAACAACTGTGTGTGCGCGGGTGTTGCCCCTTCTGGTATCGATCTAAACCGACCCGGAAAAGGGTGCCCTAAGGAAAACACACACACACACACACACCAACATGTTGCGATTGATTCTCACAACATCGAACATTGAAGCATCTGATTTTTAAACATTTAGAACAAGTATAAACTCGAACAGTTTCAGTAGTCTTCCAAGAACATAGTTTGGATTTGGAGGAGCTTCCCCATCGCAGCTGCATGCGCGATTGGAGTATTAGGAATTGACCTTGAGGTTGCCATGACAATGAACAAATGGCAAACACATTGTGCGCTTCCCCAAACAGTGAAGAATCCCATCCCATTGGACACCCCTCAATTGATCAAACATGGGCTTATCTATCCTAGGTTTTCACTAGGGCTTCTCCAAGGAACTGATTGGTAGAAACGAGGTAACTCTGCTCAAGGAAAACCAATCGCTCCTTCATGTTATCAAGCAACAAAGGATGTAATTACATGGGGCGATCCAAAAAACCAAGCGCTTTTCTGGGGTATTGGACTTTTTTGACGCGAAGCCCCCTGCACGAAGCGGAAAAGAAGAAGCAATGACATGCCCGGCAGGGTCTGGCTGGCAAAGAAAAGCCCCAAACCCCCAAACGGCACCCTCTGTCTGGTAATTCACGTCAGCCTGTCTCACTCCGCCCCCGAGTGAACGAAACCTGTGTCCAAATTAATGCTATCACTTACTTTTAGTTGACTTCATCTCACTTGTTGAGTAGATGGCCACCCAACAAAGTCCCCAAACCATGTGTTTACCACTAACATGGCCAAACCCGAAAAAAACGTCACTCAAGTGCAAGAACGGACATGACGTTGTCGCGAATCCCCCTTCAGAAATCCGAATCGGATCGCCCAGGCCCAGCCGTGCATCCTCGGCACTTTCTGTGGCGCGAGACAACTCTTGCGCCTGAACCTCCTGGCGCAACAAGGCTCAAAGTCCCAAGAGATGCTAAGGATTTTGTTTGGGTTTCCTCCAAAACCACCCTTCGATGCTAAGTTTTTTTTGGGGGGGGTTCCCTCCTCCAAAAACCACCATTCAAAGGACACACCCACAAGTAGAGGCCTCTTAGATGGGGTCGAGGGACACCAGGAAACCGGGTGACGCGTCCCGAGGTCCAGCTGCGTGGACACGGCGCGGAGTTGCTCCAGCATCGGCCTCACCTTCTCCTTCCGAACAACGATTCCAAGGGCGCGGTTTCAACTAGATCCTCCAGTAGAGGATAGAATAAGGGTACCAACTTGTTTCTATACTAGTAGGGGAACCCTCCCCAAAAAAAGGGGTGAAAAGGGGCACTACTGGGGGACCTCGTCAAAGCGCGGTGGTCCATGCGATGGGTGTTTGAAGAGACCCTGAAATTGGATGTTTTATTTTTTTCCAAACCCAAAAGGAAACCACCTGGAGACAATCCCCAATTTTGAGAAACACCCAGGTTCGAACTGGACCCCGGGCAAACGGAAACCTGGTTGATTGCCTGATGGGAAGATGCCGTTACTTGCTCTGACCAATGGCGCCGACACAGAGACTGTGGACCCCCCACCCCACATTTCCATCAAAAATCGCGGTTGACAAGAGGCAAAAAAAACAGATGCATCTTAAAATTTCCAGCAAAACAAAGTAATCCTAACATAAATGGCGTACGCCGACTAACTTGGACTCAACCGGGGTGTCTTGTTGTGTACAGTATGATGCCCGTTCTTTCAAGCCACTCAAAAAGCAGGTCAGAACCACGGTTATAAGGAGCCAACTTAAGCCAGCCATAACATGAATAAACCTGCTTGCAAGGCTTCCGTGACTTGCAACCATGATGATACAATCGTACTGTGGATGGACGAAATCCATTTCGCACCACCTAAGAAATGGAATGATAATCCATTCCCCTGTAAATGCCAACCAACTTCCCCTGGTTTCAAAGTTGGAACGGATTTCGCAACCATCCACAGTACCAAGTCTCACCAATGATTTGTAGTCTCGGTTGCTTTCTGCTCCCCTGCTAAACGTGAATAACTTTCAGCAGTTTAACGGGAAAACCCAAATGAATGGCAAAAAGTACAAGTCCTAACATTCCTTGGCAAAACGCAACAAAGTAGTGGTAGGGCCCCACTAAATCCCAATTGAATCAGCTCCTTGGCGACCCCTAGACAGTGACGTAGCCAAAGTCCCAGCCAACTGGCCGCTTCCCCCACCCCTACCAGCGACCCGGGTTGCCCAACTTCCCAAAAAGTTAAAGTCTAAAGATCCGACCCAAAAGTTAAAGTCAAGTCCTGCCATCTAACTTCCCTGCCCCCATCAACCCCCCACTCCTCCCGTGCAGGCGGCGGCGGCGGCACGCGCAGCCCGGCTCGAACCGGCAGGACCGGCGGGACCGGTCCGCTTGTGCCGCTTCGGGTCGGCGGAGTGCGAGGGATCAGGTCCTGGCGCTGTGACCACGAACGTAACCATTCCCCCACCCACCCACCCCACCCCCCAGGGTCAGGTTGCGTGGTTCGAAAGGCCCCGATGGCGTTTGGTTTTTTTTGGGTGTCTCCAACTAGTCAAAAGGTGGCTGGTTTTCTGCTGGCCTGCGCACGGGCTCCAAGAAGCCGCCTCAAACATTGGTTGGTTCCTTTTGGTGTCCCTTTAAATACCAACCTTTAGAGCAACCAACAAACGATTGAGAATAAAGGCAACCAACAAACTATTGAAAAGCCAAAAAGGACACCCACCAATTTTGGAGAGGCGCCCAAATCTGACCTCACCCTCTCGCAACGTCGCGCTTGAGCTTGGCCGCTCATGCACGTTTCTCAAAATTGTGGACCCCAACAAAATGATTGGACTCCGTTTTGGGTTTGCCATTGGGTATGGGTCAAAATTCAACCACCAGGGAACCGCAGGTTTTAGTCCACGTTTCCATCTACCAGGGTTCTATATTGGGTACCTATTTTTGACCCACACCCATTTCGAAGCATCCGAAGAATCGGATTCCACGTTTTGACTCAGATGCCCAGTAACCACTGGAAAAAAAGGGGGCAGCACCATTTTTGTTGGTTGGTTGACTTTCAAGGGAAACCCAAAACCCACAAAAAGTCGAAACAAGGAAGCAACCCACCGGTTGCAACTGAGGCAGAGCCACACGCCGCTAGCGGAGCACCGCTCGCCGTGTTGCCCGCGCCTGCAGCTGCCTCTCCGCCTGCCGGCTGCTCTGCAGCGCCCGCTCGGCCGCCTGCGCCGCCCGCAGCCACGGCAGGCGCCCGGCGGAATCCGCCAGCACCTCTCAAGTGAAGTACGCGTTGAGCGTTGAGCAATCCCTGCATAGGTGTCTCAGTTGCCCCTTGGGGACCCAGAACTAAAAGGTGATCACCTTTTGGCACTAAAAAAGGGAACCCGGAATGGGAAAATCAAAAGGTCAAAAGGTCTGCTTTGGACAACTGAGGTGTCCCTTTGAGCAAATTCTCACCCCCCCCCCAAAAAAAAAGAAACGAAAAGAAGAAGACGTTGCCATTGAGCGCCCAAAGGGATCTGATTAAGTCGGTGTCCTTGGGGAAATAGATGGATTTCCCTGGTTGATGAAAACACTATCTAAGGCCCTCAGACTTCAAATGGATTGCAATCCCCGAAATCTTCCCTTCGCCACCGTTGCCACCGTGGGGGGAAATTTGAACTTGGGGGTTCAATATACTCCCTTCGGCCCCCCCGAATGACCAGGGGTAGCTAACTTTCCTCATGTGGGAATGTCATCTCTTTTGGCGGGTTTCTCCAATGGTCATCCCATGTAACTACTATGTCCTTGCAAACCTCCTCATAGCTCCAATTTCGGCTCCCCGTTCAAAAGCAAATTTGGATACCCCCAGCTCCTTGGCTCCCTTCCAACCACCAGCTAGTGTATGGCTTCCATTTGCTTCAGTCTCCCGGAACAAACAGCACGTAGTGAAATCGATTTCTTTAAAAACCTTTCGGGGAAAACAACAAATCTTAAGCAGACTTCGGTCGGATTGACCAACCCATCCCACCAATTCATAGGGGCGTCACCCACAACAGCTAGGTCAAGGACCTTTTGATCAACCCACTTCCCGAGTGGATGGGTCAACAAAACGTAACCACTCATGTTATTTTCCACTAAACTGGTCTTCCGAAAAAGAAAAAATGCCTAAAGCCAACAACTCAGGAACTAAGACCAACCCTAGGCTCCCTCAGGATACAAGACCAAAACTTATAAGACTCGAGACCCCACTTCTCCACCCGACCAGGACAGCTACACAAAGATCCTAGGAACCAATCTGAGGACATTGAAAAATCATTGAATTATCGAAGGTCCCTAAATACTCGTAGTCGTATAAGTCCTCAATGCATTAACCCAATGGGACCCTACTTCAAGGGGCCGAACCTCGACCCCACGTCGCCGAAGGCGCCAGCCGGCAGAAGCTTCGGAAGCCCTGAAAGCTCTCGGCGCCCAGCGCCTCGCAGCGCCAGCCTTCGCCGTGCGAGTTGCCGGCGGGCGGGTGGGTCTTAACGGGCAAAAGCGGCGTGTGGGTGGGTGGGTGTGTGGGTGTGTGGGTGTGTGGGTGTGTGGGTGTGTGGGTGTGTGGGTGTGTGGGTGTGTGGGTGTGTGTGGGTGTGTGGGTGTGTGTGGGTGTGTGGGTGTGTGGGTGTGTGGGTGTGTGGGTGTGTGGGTGTGGGGTGTGTGGGTGTGTGG